TTTACCAGTGAATGTAGTGTCTGCTTTCAGACATAACAAGCCCCATGAATGTTCTACTGAAATGTGGAACATTCTAGAACACCAGTGGGATGTGCAGGTGGCCTTCAGTAAGCTTGTGGCAAGCGTTCATCTTTGCTAAGATGGGCTCCTGCTGCTCTGTTCCATCCCTGTTTTGCCTGGTATCTTTCTCTGAGCACCGGGTCTCTGGTGGTACTGGCCTGCAGATGCCCAGATACTCCCTGGCTCTCATTCAGCCCCCCCCCCCCGGAACATGCAGCACTGTCCAAAAGTTTTTGGGTGCTTTTCCACTGCACCAGGAAGCATACTTTTAGTACTTCAGAAAAGGGCCAAAAGTACAGTATTTCTTGTTAGTTTTCCTCTAGCTTAAAAACTGGTACCAGCTCAATGACATCATAATGGGGGCAGGGTATTTTGTACAGAATTCAAAAATGGAATTTTTAACTATTATCGGCCTGGGTGATGTATTGACATCGCATGTTCTGCACACACATTTCTCACATCGCAAGGACCACGATAGCTGGATTGAAATCGGGTTTCTTCATACCTTCATTCTGTCCAGACAGTATAGCGTGGGGGGGGGGGGTTCAATTTTAAATTTTTACTCTGTGATAGGGAACGAAACTTAACGAGATTTACAATTTTATTGATTGTTCCTTTTCAAGATTATCTAGTATATGTTTAAAAAAGCAGTATGAAATTTACCTCTGCAGCTGCTTTCCGGCCCGATCATTTTCATTTCTCCCGTTTAAATCATTCCTAGATGATTCTGAGATTTATTTATTTTGAACTCCTTTTTTTGCAATATGTCTCAATATTAATTGCAGTGAAATCACATGGTGATATCTGAAACTTTTCCAGTACCATGCAGCCCTAGTATGTTATATTATTATAACAAATACTTTTTCTCCTCATGCCATCCATATCTCATTGAGTCTGTTCTTCCTACCAGATCGGCATCGAAGTTCGGGTCTCTTCATTTGTCCACACGTCCATTATTATGAATCCGCTATTACTTGTTTTTTTTTTACTTTATTGTTGTTTTCTGGATTTGCCTTGTGTTTGCAATGGCAGGTTATTTGTATACTTAATTGACAATAAACATCTTTGCAAATCTCACCCTGAAGTACTGAAAAAGTTCCCCATCTGGTTTGGTACTTTTGGTACCTGCTTCTGATGTCCGGTACCTGGTGCGCTGGACAAGCGTCCTTTTCCCCCGGACTGTACTGATGACCCCAGAGCTGTAGTGCCGGAACTGTAGCACCTTCCAGACTGGTGGGCTGTTTTCCCGGAAGCTTTCCAGACTGGTGTCCCTCTACGTTCTGTGTTCTGATATCATCTCTGTAATGATGACAAAATCAGTCCAGTCCGTTTTAAATCGGGAACGCTGCCGCAATTCAGCCATCAAACAACTGACCTTAATCATTTCTTTGCCTGGGTTAAATTAATGAGTTTGGGGGATAATTACTTTATCATATTTGATAATCCAGTCATCCATTGTCCCATCTTATAACCATTTATCCTTGTCAGGGTGATGGTGGATCATGGCAGGACTGGGAAGGTGGGATGGGATGTCGGCCCTCTGACTCCTGGGTTGTGGGTTTGAATCCCGCCTGCACTCTGTGTGTTTTGGAGCTTGCGTGTCCTTCCGGTGTCATGAGGCTTTACTTTCGGGACTCCGGTTTGTTCCTACAATCCAAAGTCGTGCAGTTAAGAGAATAAATACCTTTGAGTCTGTGCATTTTGTGCACCTGACCCTGGGTTCCCATCCAGGACGAACCCCTGCTTTCCAGGCCCAGCCTATAACCCTGTAATGAAGAAGCATGTGGTGGATGGATTGACATGTGCCTTGATGCTTGGGGTTTTCACTTATGGAGGGGGGGGGGGGGGGGATACAATACAAGGCACTATAATTTCTTAAAGCGATCATTGAGCTGATTTCACGGCACTAAAAATGACAGGCAGTCACGTTTCCCAGAAAGTCGTCGTTTGTACCGGACAGTCTGTGGGTAAAGCCCAAGCGATCATGATGCTTAACAAACCCGCTGGATTTCTCCTTAATGGGCAGCACAGGAACCGCGTGTGACATTGAGCCTAAGTGATGTCATCTGCCCAGCGGGGTCATCACTGCCGCTTCCTCCGCGGTCTCCAAGGAGCCTGCCCGGTAACGCTCATCGCCAAGACATCACTTTCGGATGTAGCTGGATGGAAACATGGCCCTGGACCGTGCCTCCCTGCGGCTGGGACTCTGCTCGCTGGCATGCGATCTGCCTGTTCCGGCCCCTGCTGAGTGATGTCCATTATAAACCCCCCCCGGCCTGACAGGCTCTCTGATGTAGTTCATCACCTAGTATTAGGGACTGTTGACAGTTAGTTTGGGGGGGGGGGCTATTAATGTTTAATCATGCCGCATAGAGGAAATGTACACATCAGCTTTGAGGGGGGGGGTTCTCTATCATGGGGAGTTGCTTGATAGGGTGGGGCTTATCCACACCACCTCCCCACCCAAAGTTGTTTTAAAGGCTTGTGGTTTGAATAATCACAGGAAGACGGTGTCTGTCTAGAAAGGGGGTCGTGAAGCACGTTGTGCTGGTTTCGTCACGTCCTGCTTCGTCTCCCATTGAAGGCAGCAGGGTGTGGGGCGGTACCAGCGCTTTGGGAGAGGCGGGAAGGTCAGAGCCGAGGCGGATGGATCGTTACGTCGGGAAGAGATTATCCCATCCCCCGCTGCAACTGCTCTGACGTCGCTGATGACTGGCTCTGGTCATGTGTCTGTGGGCCGTATAATCTGTGCGTGTGTGTGTTTGTGTGTGAAATGGCGTAATGAACGCCTGCCTTCATCTGATACACACCATTAACCAGCGTCATCGAGGCCAGAAGTTAGATAACATTTCCCAGCAGCGATAGACCCCCCCCTTCTGAGTTTGTTTTCTCTGGCTTCCCCTGATTCGGTCTGGCACTACATGATGCCACAGACCAGCCTTGTTTCATGCAGGGAATCCCCAGGCAACGCACCGGCATGCAGTGTGTGACATCACAGTGCACGTGACAGCAACAGCACCCCCCGCCCACCACGCTCTGGGATTTCCCCAGCTCCTTAACCACCCTACTGTGTTTCTTTATCAAAGAGATGCTTTTTGTTAAATATCCTTCTGCTGTCCATGTTGCTGCCACAGACCCTGGATCCTCCTACGATCCGAGGTGTCGCCATGCTCGGATCAGGCTGACCCTAGTATAACCCTCCCCCTGCTCAGGCTGCAAACTGTCGCACACCACCTGCACACAGTCCCGCCCCTTATTAGCACGTGCAGCAGGGTGGCTTCAGGATAAGGGTTAAGGTTGCGCCACCTTGTGGCGATGGACGGAATTGGTCATGGTTTGTGTGTGATGAATTAGATTTTTGCAGCACATTTTGGGCATG